CCTACAGACAATCTTCCCACAACTCAGTACAACTGGAACCTCCTCTTGACTGGAATAACTTAGTCCTAGTGCTTTAGAAGCACTACAAACATCTGGCATAGTAGAAATTAACTTATACTGAAAACTCCTGGCTAAATAATGATGTAAATGAGATCTCATAACTGCACAACAAATCCAAATAACCTGCATAACTCCCGGAGTGCCTTGTGAAAAGAATGAATAAAGTTGCCTTTGTTGCCCCTTTCACTGTGAGAACAGCTTCTAAATAGACCACTGATAATTTAGACTTTACATTTAATGTCTCACTCTGTAAACCCTTGAGTGGCAGCTGAATTTAGGTAACTCTTGCTATCTCCTTCAGTAATGTGTCCAAGCTCTTCAATACAATGGATTTGGATAAGCTTCTGACATTTATTTGCCTCATTCAAAAATATTAATTTCATCCAGATACAACGGTTTTAAAAAGTTTAGCTTTCTGCTGCTTAAATCAATCAGTGTTGTGCATCTAACTTGAAACTTAGTATATTTTTCTGTGCTATTAAAACTCTTCATCTATAGCATGGGGCATAAAGAAAGTCTTATCTTGTTCTATTATCCCACATTGAACTCACAGTTACTATAAATGAAGACTCCATATTCTGGCATATGTTCTCAGTTTAAATTTGTTTAATAGTTTCCAGTTGAGAAACACTATTTTGAGTATGCTCAGCTAACATTTCTGGTTGCAGTGAAGTCAGAAGCAGAAGCTGTTTCCTTCTGTAGCCATCTGTCCCACTCTTCTGATTAACACTACAAAGGTAAGGACATTCAGTTGCTCCTAAAACAGCTCTTCAACAGCTGCAGACTCCCACAGGAGGCTTATGTTAACACACATAGTTGTAAGTTCTAATAGTTACAGTGTTGATGTATGACAAGATCAAACGTTCCTGTCTATGGGGAACTGTGAAGTCCAAGTTAAATGCTGTAAAACTGGTTATTAAAGATATAAAATTAGAAAAAACAGGAACTGAGGATATTATGCACAGGAAATATTTCAGAATTTTAGTTATTCAATTGACTTTATATAATGTTCTGCTTAACAAGTGCTCTTGAAAGAAAACCATGACATAATGGTAATTTACAATATAATGATCTCTTGCATTCTAAAGAGGGTTTTTTACCTGGCGAAAAATCTCAGTTAGAAAATTAACATTGCTTCTTTTAGAAGAAAAGACTTTCCGGACAATTTCGATATCAGTTAAATGCTCTTCATCTATACTGCAGAGGCTGGAAGAACTTGGCTCCCTCTCTGTTAGAGTACTTGTATTAGAATGAGATTGTTCTGGCTCTGCATTTCGATCCTGCTTATCAGTACTGTCATTTTTGCTGTCCTCCCTTGAAGCCATGCTAGCAGCTGCTCTCTGAAACAGAAATCAAAGAATATTCCAACATTCATTTTTAGTACAACAATGTAACAGCACAATTTAAGTTATATGACAGTATAATTTAAAACAGTACAAAGAATTCAAGAAAAAAACCACACAGAAAAGGATTCACTGCGTTTCAAGGCTTATGTCTATTTGACTAAAAACAAATTGCAGAATTAGAAAAACAAAGGCAGCATAGCAAGTCCTTCTAAAGTGAATTCATAAGCATAAAATTTGTTTAGAAATTCCTTTTTTTAACTCTTCATTAGTTGCAGTTATTGGAGGAGTGCATACTGGTGACATAACAATTAAGACAAAAACATGACAACAAACATATTTTTGTGTATTTGGTTTTACCTGAATATTCTTTGGCACATTTTCACCTTCCATCCCAGGAATATGAGGTCCTGTATGCGGTTTTGGCTCAAGCCAGAAAGACACCAACCATCGAATGACAATGACACGAGCCTTAATAAAAGGTTCCTTTGTGCAATATATTGCCTCATTGGTTTCAGCATCCTTCTTAACCATTACGTAGTGTGGCTTTGGTCTCATTTGTGGGATATCTGTAAGGAAACACAACATCTTAAAATATGTGCAGAGACAAAGCCCTGTATAAGAAAGAAATCCTAAAACCATTAACCAATACACATGAAAAACTCATTCCAAGATGTGCTGAAATGGATGCAACAGAGAAAATTTCAAGAATTTTAAGATACCAAAACACTAATTTTCTTCTGGATGGAGACAACAGTGTTGGTACAAAAGACAGAAACTTATTTCTCTTATAGAAAACTTAATCTTTTTATCTGAAATTGATTTCTATAGCCTTATGTCTTTGCTTGCATTTTTTTTTAAACAAGTAGACATTTATTTTCATTGTTTTCAGCTCTTTTTTAAATTACATGTTCTAGGCAATACACTTCAGCAAACTTACTACTTCACGCCTTCATTGAAGATTATGAAGATTCTATAAGTGGCAAAATAACTGTTAGCTAGACTATGGCCTACACGAGAAAACTGTTCATGTAGAATTAAGATACCATCGAATTTCTTAAGAAGCATTTATAGTTAGTAAGCAACAATTTATGTAACTCATACTACTTTATAGCTTTTTAAAAAGAGTCCTGTATATCACTTAAGCCCTACTACCAAACCTCCTGGGAAAAGCATACGCAGTTCAGACACAAGGGATCACCACAGTTGGTAATGCATCTGTAGAAAGATCTCTATGTTGGTCTGCATCAATCCACAATAAAGCAATGTATTTTGCTATAAGGGTCATCAGTCCCTTACTGATACAGATACTAACATCTAATCATGGCTACAATGGGAGATGTTTAAGTCCAAAATGTATGCTAAGAGCAGCTCCAATAACACAGCCTCTTCTGGCCCTGCAGTGGGTGAAAGATGAACACAACAGAGAAGTCCTGCTCCAAAGCCACGCGAGCTTCTTTGCTGCTTCACCTAATGTCACATCTCCACTGGCTAATTTTCCTGGACTTTGCTACCAGACCACAGGGACATGCATCTTGCTATGACTTAGCTGAAAAATGATTCTGTGGCTATAGCTTCTGCACTGGCTTACAGGGAATGTAATGAATGATGCCCAGCAGTATGGCAACTGGCAGGAAATGTGTTTATTTGGGGTTTATAATTGACAACTCCATTCTCTCCATCCCAGGTACTACGCGATGATTCAGAACTGTTCAGATCTTTCTGGTTCTCTACTGTGCTAGACTCATCACTATTCTTGAATCTGCTTCAGAAAAGGTGACAGTCCTGAATAAAGGAATTGATATGTGCAGGTAGAAGCATTGCAAAGATGGGAGCACACATGGATAGTTTTTTAAACTGTGCATTTTTCTGTGACTCAATACTGCAAAATGTCATTTCTGTATAGTACTTTCATGTGTGAATGACATTTATGTGGGGAGCGGTGTGCCAACCAGCTCTAGTCCTAGTTTTAGAAGAGCAACTACGAGATATTCATCTACTTTTTATACTGAAGCATATTTGTGTGAGGACTGATTACAGTATGTGCTGTCATAACAATCCGCTCCTGGTGTTTCAGTATCATGATTTTTCTCTCATAGCAGCACAAAACAAACAAAAAACCCAAACCAAAACACACACAAAGTGAACAAAAACACAAGCCAAAACAACAACAAACACAAAAACAAAAAGGAGGAGGCATGGAAAATGACGGCCCTATCCAGATACAGAGAGCGACAGATTGGACAGAAATGGAATTATTTCAGCACTGCTTCAACTGCCCTAAAGCCTGCAGTACATAAGTGAGATAACTCCATGGTTTTACAGGCCAGAAGGCAGTTCAAAGATACTAAGAGCGAGAGTCAAGGAAGATGTAAAGTAGTCGTACTTAACAATATAGAGTTATTTCCTGACTATATCCTCCTAATGCATGGTCAAGGGTTGCTCTAAGGGATCCTGTATAACTTTGTCAGTGTATGGTGTCAGAATTCACGAGGAACAAATGTGGACAGCAGCAAAGAACTAATCAGCTACTATTTAGGCAATTACTTTTTAAGTTAATGCTTTTTTAAGGCATCTGAGGTGACGCCAGCCTGTCTGCCAGCCTGCTGTAACCATCTCCTTGTTAACATGACAAATACATAACACAACATCCAGCACCAGGATTGAGCATACCCAAGCTGGCATATCTCAGTGTCATTTCAACAGCCACACACATCAGTAGTGATAAACCCATCACGATGCTGCTAAACTGAGGAGTGTTTCCAGTACAGACTTCAAAGTTACATCCACACTTTTCAATGGAAGCATTATTTTTAGTGGCAAAACCCAGACAATTCTTGCATACCACCCACCTAAGTAACAAATGCACACAAGACTTTTTGAAAAGTGTACAAAGAGTTTATTTACTACAAAGAAAAAAACCTCCAGAACATTGTTTTCATTCTGTGGAAAGCAGCAGGTTAGTAAGAAAATTAAAAATTATCTTAAACAGAAGCATATATAACAGCACAATCAGTGTAAAAAGGAAGCAAATCCCTGGCAGCACGGTATATAAAGATGCAAAAATCAGTTCTCTCTGGCATCTCTTAGCATTCAGCAGAGCACAAAGGCTGCAATACTGGCAGTATTTTCAAAAGGACTAGGCATGCAGTAAACATGTCTTTGCAGCACATGGTCTCCTCCTAGTTTCATGATATCCTCTCATAACATCCTCTCTCTGTATTTTGTTTCAACTGCGTTATGTGCTGCAGCTGCTTCTCAAATGCATCCTCCTTCAGCCAGTTCTTATATTTTCACATTTCTGTCCATCTTGGAAGTAGGTATGAAGGCTTCAGATGAGGACACCAACATAAAACCAAAGCAAAACAGAGCTTGTTAGATTGACTCAAACAGCACAAGAGGAAATACTCCCTTCCCCCGACTCTCCATTTTTCCTTTCTGTTGTACTTTGGGCTTTCCCCACCCCCAGACCTTCCTCCTCTGGGAACCTGATGTGAGCTCATGCCAAAAACGGCAGGAAGCTGTAGGTGGTGGGAGGCATACACAGGGTAGAAAATGAACAGGCCAGCAAAAACACAGTCAAATGGTGGACACTTGTAAGCTTTGACCACACTCTCCAAGGGAAGTGAGGGGAAAGGGAGGGAGGGGGAGAAATCTCAATCTACTATACTATCTCCAGTAAAATCCTTTATCAGTGCTTGCTTACTAAAACTACTGTTTTGATTTGTACCTCATTACTTCTCCTAAATTAAACATTAGACCAGTGGCCTAAGAATTGTTTTTAGTAGCAGGCTCAGTGTCCAGGTTTGCCTTGCTTTCAGCCTAAATGCTGTAAATTTTGTTTAGAACAGGCACAGGATTATTTTCAAACAGGGTGGGAAGATGCATGCCAGAAAAGAACTAAGAGGAGAAAAATTACTTACCACTGTTTGTGTGTTTTCATTACTGTATTCTTCTAATAATCTTCTAAAAATAGTTGCTGACTTTGCACAATTTAAGGAACTCACAGTAATTTTGGAGATCTGTGCCCATTTCTACTTGTTTCCCATTGTCCTCTTCTTTACCAAGACCTCAGAAGATTCTTGTTCATAGTTCACAGAAAAAGAGAGGACTAGAGTAACACTTCTATGGAAGACTCAATCAAGATCTTCATAGAAAGGGAAATATAAATTTCCACATTTCTTCTTTGAGGGCATCAAGCAATGGTAGATTTGCTTTCTCAGCACTGCTTACCATCCCTCTTGTAGTTATTTTATCACTGAACCTCTTCAGCATCTTCCCGTAACTCTTGTTCTACCATTGCTTATGGCTGGATTTATACAGCTTCTTCTGTCCTAGATGAGAAGGTCTACTGTTTGTCTTTCCCAAGAGAACATGGTTTTGAAACAACCACCTCTGAAGAAAGCCCCAATCCAAATATGTGTACATGGACTGGAAAGAACTAACACCTTTTCAACAAACTTCTGCGACAGCTTGATTTTAGAACATGACATTTTGTCTGGAGATCACTACTAATACTTTTGAGACGTTGCATCAACAGGTAAGAGAGGCAGTGAAGTGTCTGTATTATTCAAATAATGAAATAGTAGCTTAAAGCCTGTGTACATGGTATTGCTTTGCAAAGAAGAGTCTTGAACTCTGCTGGCTTACAACTAATTTGTGCATGGATGCATGCAAACCTGAGATAACAAAAATCAAGACTTACAAACAATGTTCTAGTTTCAAATGGACTAAAATCTTTCAAGTAAAACTTTATGTTTGCTTAGCAAACACCTAAAATTCCACTCTCTATATGGAAAGATACATTCTAGCACCATCAGCATTAAGAACTGTTAAACCTTACCTTTGTTTTCCTACTGCAAGCTCTTGACAAAATACAGTTGGCTCAAAAACAAAACTAACTTTGCCCTGTCAGAACTATGAGCAAGGACTGTATGATCCAAACATGATTCTGTACAGGTAGAGCCAACACCCCCAAAGAGCAGCACACTAACACCTTTTATCTCAGCAGCAGGAGTTTCTTTTCAGAGCACAACTTAGGTCAACAACAGAGGTCACATTAAAGAACTGTTTAACAAGAACATTTAATTTATGTCAATCAGTTTAACACAGCAAGATTCCCTCTAATGAAAGGGTCAGCAGCCTCCACAAGAGAAGAAATTAAAACCATGAACAAGAACATGTTCTTTCATAAGAAATACATTCGCTGAATGCTCTTCATGGGCAACATGACTCAAGCAAAAACTGTTTTGCTATACTATTAGAAAAAATGTAATGATTTTATCAGCGGTGTTAATACTTACCAAGTAAAGGATTATACAAGCTGGTCTCCTTACAGATGTTTGGGAAAATAGAAGGTAAGTAGTATTTCTTAAAATTTGAGAATAAAAATGAAAATCCCTTTTCTTGGTTTTCCTTGTTCTTCCATTCTAAACTCTTAACCTTAAAAAAAGAATTTTTACAAATTAAACATCTCAAAGTAGAAGAGAAAGATAACTGAAGAAATGTCCTCTTTATATTTTATTAAACACTCTTAGAAATATGGAACAAAAACTAGTTAGGAAATGTCAGTGAAACAAAGACTGTTCTCTTCCAAAATATTGCTTCAAAATGAACCTGGACACATCAAATACCAAAATCAATAGAAATGTATCTGCTTTTACAGTCAACTTGTCAAACCAGGGAGTAAACCCAAACTGACTGCTTTAAATAAAACTGGTTTTATATTTCAAAATGTTTTATAAGAAAAGGATAATTACCCATGCCACGCTGAATATTTCTTTGACAATGTCTTTTAACACATTTGAACTAACAAGTGTCCATATAGTCTTTGTAATAGGTACTTGGATTCATTTTGGTAGTTGGCAATATGAAACAAACAAATTTTTCAACCAAAAGCAGCAGAACATTCAACTTCAAAGTTGAGTGACATGAATGTATTTTCATGGATCATTAGTATTAAGCATTGCCATTATGAAATGTTTTCCCACTGAAAAGTGTAGTAAGTTCTCCTTAATAAGAAATCTAACAAGCAGTTTCCATCTTCATCCCCAAGAACTCATCTGCCTGCAGAGCTGGGTAATCTGCCAAGTCTATCGCAAATAATAAAAAGGAAGGATTTCTCCTTTTTTCTCCTTTTTAGTTTTTCCTCCTACTCCTCCATTCTTCACTCAAAGGCTACTTTTCTATTATGATCTTTTTTCAGCAAAATGGGTCTTTAGAGTGGAATACATTGTGCTGCTTTGGATGGGGTGGAGTTAAATTTCTTCACAGTGGCCAGTATACGGCTATGTTTTGGATTTGTGCAGGATACAGGTCTGATAATGCAGAGATGTTTTTGTTATTGCTGAGCAGAGCTTACACAGAGCCAAGGCCTCTTCTGCTTTTTGTACTGCCAAGCTGGCAAGAAATTGGGGGTGCATGGGAGGCTGGGAGGAGACACAGACAGGACAGGTGACCCAAACTAACCAAAGAGATATTCCATACCATATGACATTATGGTTAGGATATAAAGTGGGAGGAAGAAGGAGGGGGGGGACATTTGGAGTGATGTGGGGACATGTTTGGAGGGATGGCATTTGTCTACCCAAGTAACCATTACACATGATGGGCCCTGCTCTCCTGGAGATGGCTGAACACCTCCTGCCTATGGGAAGCAGTGAATTAATTCCTTGTTTTGCTTTGCTTGTGTGTGCAGCTTTTGCTTTCTGTATTAAACTGTCTTTATCTCAGCCCATGAGTTTTCTAGCTTTTACCCTTCTGATTCTCTCCCCCATCCCACTGCTGGGGGAGTGAGTGAGCATTTGCATGGGGCTTGGCTGCTGGCTGGGGTTAAACCATGGCATAAATATATATGCATATATTTCACCCTCCAATATAATTCAACAGAATGGGTGATACCTATAATTTAATGACACAAAGTCCTTTAACAGAACTTAATATCGAAGAAGAACTATTCAGCTTGCAATTATCAGTGCCTCTAAAGAGACTTCAGCAAAGGACTTGGGCACTCACACAGTGAACAAGTTCTATGGCACCTGTCTCAATGACTTACCTGAATTTAAATATAATACTACCCATTTATTACAGAAAGGGCAGTTATCTTCAAAAACAAAAGGGCTATTTTTCCTCAAAGTGAATAGTCATCATTAAGGTAACCCTATAGATCACAAGTATGATGACCACTATTCAAACTGGGACATGCTGGAAACAACAAAATGAGTTTGCAAATTATTCCAACATGAGAAGTTCACAGCCAGAGGGAGGCCATGAAATGTTTAACATTGGTCATATTTGTACACTGTCCATCTTCTCTAGCAAAACCTGCAAAAGTATGAAGAAAAACTTAAAGATACCCAACTGGGTCCTGCTGGACAAGTCTGACCCAGACTGCAGTACCCTGGGAATACCTACCACATGTCATGCAGGCAGCACATGACAGCAGAGCAGGCTCAGAAGCAGGATGTGCTAATTGGCCAGCAAATCAATTATGTAACATAACAGCTAGGCCACGGGTTTAGACAGAAACCATTGCCATGCCCTGTCCTAAGCATTTTGAGTACTGGCTGAGATCATGGAAATGTCAAAGTACAAAGAGAAGGACATAGTGTGCGCCCGAGTTGCACACCATGGACTAATTACTCGTTCAAGTCTGCATTTTCTGTGCTCAGTTGGTCTACTGGTTGGAGGTAACAGGGCCAGGAAGGAGAGGAGAAAATGGGAAGGGAACTGGACTCAGCAATGCTGGAACTGACTGACAAGTCTTGGTTTTGCTCCATGCTGCAATCTGATGGAAGACCCTGTGGTAAAAGACCTAAGAATCTTCACAAGAAGACAAGTGAAGATTTTTCAAGGAATTTACTTTTCACAAAGGACACTTGAGGGAGGGGCAAGGAGGAGGAAACTTGAAAACATTTTCATGTACATTTGCAGTTCTACAAGTAAAAGACATTGTAATGGACAAAGAGGTGTTATTTATTTCATACTTGTTTGTTTGAAAACTACAGAACATACCTGAATTACCATGTATTTCAAAAGTGCTTCTAAAAAATAGCTTGTTAAATCTTCTTGTCCTTTATCTCCTGATTGTGGAGGAACAAGTGGAGTGATTTCCTCTATAGTCACTTGAGCTATTTAAAGAATAAGAAAAAAAGAAGCACATCTAACATTCAGACCATTTCTTCTCATGCATAAATATCTACCAAGTTATGAATGTAGAAATGTACTGAGGTAAGCAGAGGCAGTTACAGGCAAAACAATTCACCCATAGATTAAGGAAAAATAGGACATTTTAGCTAATAAACCATCACAGAACTCATTTCTTACACATATAAAAACCCCACAGCAGACCATAACTATGTTTTCTCTATGCACCCTGGAAATCTACCTGCCAATATCCAATTTTTCCAAAAGGCGTAATCCATTTCTTTTGGAACTTATGCAAACAATAGTGTAATGTTTGTGTTGCACAAATGCCAAAAATTTATTTACATCTTTCACAATCTTCTCATTTAGTAGTTGATCAGTTACATTTCTGTTAAGTTTTACTAGTTGTATCCTTTCTTTGCCTCTACAGTGAAGCTACTTCAGGGTTGATTTTTCTCCTGTTCCTGTAGTTAGATGTTCACATTTCACTCTTACCTACCTGCAGAGCTATCCTGCCATGAAATTTGTCTACTAAGTTTCAGTAAATTTAATTACAAGTGACGGAGACACTGCTTGCCTCTACAAGCAATAAAATATTAAAATACTTGGTGAAGATGGAACAAAGGCAACAGCACTTAACGTTCAGAGGAAAAAGTGGTCAGCTTCTTATTTCCATTTATGTGAACGCACAGTTTGCACTTATGACTGCATCTAATTGCAATTCATTAATAAATGAGCTTAAAATCCCACTTGCAAGAATAAAGTGAGTGAGAAGGCCAGAGGTTCCCCAAAATAACCAGTATCTGATATTTACTGCTGAAGTGAACAACGGAAAAACTGTCATAGGAATCATCTTCAGAGAAAAAAAAATAAATCATCCTCACTCTATTGATTAGAGTCAAGATAACGATCTTACCTTTTAAATAAATAAAAAAACTAGAAAGTATAAAAACTATCTCAGAATACTCAAGACTTTTCATTGGTGCAAAACTTCATGACCTCAGGTTTTGCAGTTTACAAGGTCTATTCTTTTGGAAGACTCCGAGTCGCAGGAATTACCACAGCCTTAATTGCCTGGTCATACACAGGCACATTTGTCCTTAGGCACTGCCCTAACAACCACTCATTCCCTTGAAGGCCACACCACAATCTGCTTTGCATGGCTTGGTCCCTGGAACATGAACAAAGCTAGTGCAAATGTTCAACACAACCAGAATCCACCCGTGCAAGCTTGCAGTAGATGCAGGATCCTCTTGCAGTTCTCAAGAATTACATAAAATAGGGCAGTTTATTTTCACCCACTGTGTGTTAAGCTACAATAGCTGGGGAAAAAAATAAAAATCACAACAACCAACAACCACAGAAACCAACTCACCCTGAAAACCAAAAAAGACGAAGTTGCTACTGGAGGAAGACCTGATAAACTGCTAAGAAACTTATTAACAGCTCCATCATCTCCCTGGGCACATATGTATGTTAGTTCTTAGTTACTTCAACTTGGCTTTTCTGTGACAAGAATTGAATTATGTTGAGAATTGAGCAATAATACCAAATTACTTACTTTCTTGAACATTAAGTGGAGGGTTAATGAGATTATCTAGTGTTCGGGGGCCATATTCAGACTGTGGTGATGAAAATCCAGGAATCAAGCAAGAAAACATCCATAATTGTTCTTTGCTACAGTTATTTTGAAGTGCTTGCAGCCACAAAAGAAAGAGACGCACGCCCTCTCGACGTATCTTAAAGGAAAAAAAGGAACAAGTTATCTTGTCCCAGAACACACAAAAGCATTTTCATTTGTCCTGGAGGGAAAAGGAGAAGGGGATGCTAGAAAAAATGAGAACAGACAGACACTATGATCACCAGCACTCAACAGAGCCAAGCTAACACATCTGCTGCTCCTGCTAAAATGCAAGGGCAACCCGGCACTTTCACTGCTTTTTGCCTGACAGAATTTTTCACAGGGGTTTCTCTGAAGAAAGAGGAAGAAAACCAACACACTTCCAATCATACAGCACTGCAAGATGACACATGAATTTTTCAGGAAATACAATGACCAACATAAAATTTCTAAATGTGGTTATGAATTATAACAGCAGAGTGAGCTTTCTGTAGCAGAAGGATCCATTCTACCTTCTTCCATTTCTCCTTCAAAACAGGTGATGGAGTCCTAGAGCACTCCTCTCCTGGCTCTCATGCTGGAGAATTTCAGTAGCAGACAAACCTGCAGGTGGTTTACAGAGGAGTGGTGCAGCTGTCTGCTGCAGCACCAAAATCACGTGTTACATTTGAGTGGCTTTTGTACATGGCTAACCATTTAAATTACTCTACCCACCAGCAGGTCTCTTTGGCATAGCTAATCTTCCACTTCCAAGGTTGCCTGAGCCCCAAAACCAGTTTCCTTGCCCCTAACAATGAATGGTTAAGGCTTACTTCTGCTTTAATGCAAAAATCCTTTAAACCATTGGCCACTCTATATAAACACATAACTATGGTGAGTAGCTCTAGAGAGGTAAAGCTGATGATTTGAAGTCATTCGTTCAAGACACACAAGTCATGATCTGGTTCTCATTCCTTATCTGCCCTTATGTTTTTATTTGCATTTTTAAGTATTTTAGACAAAAGTAGTATGCAACTTTTTCCAATACCTTTAATGAATTTCCAGTGTGAAGAAGCTTCTTTAAAATCAACCCTAAGAAAAAAAGAAAAAAAATTTGTTTGCTTTTGTGATTTTGTTCTTCTTTCTATATTAAGTAAGATGTCAGAGATCTCGGTCAGACTTGATGTTAACTTTTAAACAAGTCTTTGGCAAGCTCCAGTTTAGTCTTGGTGACCTTGATATCCTCAGGCAACTCAGTCAATGCCAGAAGGAAAAAAACCAAATATCACCTTTCATGGCTTTCTCATAATGTATAACATCTTTTCCCAAGGACTTTTTGAGATGTGCACATTAAAAGTAAACCATTCTCAAGTCATCACTATGCATAAAATCAGCATTCCCCATTTAACACATACAGACCTCATGTCAATTTTGAAATTTATTACTAAGAAAAAAATTAGGAAAAAATAATAATTAAAACTTCAAACTTTATGCCTATCCTTGTTCCTTCTCATCCAGTGCTCTATTTCCAGATTCCCAGATTTAATTATATCTAGAAGAACATTTGTTGCATTGGTAGGATTTTCTGTTTATTTTTCCTTTCCTTCACCTAACATCCAAGAGTTTCAAGACCATAATCCCTGTATTGCCAATAAAGCTCAAGGAAATGAGTAGCACAAACTACTAATAGCTACTACTAAAAAATAAGATTGGAAAAAAAAAGGTAAGAAAATCAACTTACCAATACTATGAAATTGCCATCTCTGATGAATCCTTTCTGGAAGGAGTTGTAAAATTTTCTGTAAAAAACAGAACCCAAAGATGTACGTTGCAGATGTCACTCTCTAAGTGACATCTGCAACATCTAAGGTCTAAGACTAAGGAGCACTTTAACAAAGGCCACAGATCAGAAGCTGAAGGGTCAACTTAGAAAATTCCCACACTACTTTCCTTGGAAGCATTACCGTCCTTTCAAGATGGTCCCATTCCTAAGACTAAGAAGCCCAAAGGCTCTGACAGACTGTCTGATAAGTCCTGCATTGGAGACTTCTTGTGTTACTGCAGTTCATCTGGCTCCACTGCCTCTCTAATGGATATTGCTGCTTATAGCATAAGGAATGGAATGGGATAGGTATCTGTCTTAGTTGCCCTGGTATGCAACAGGTTGTATTAGGTTATTCCACCTTTCTAGTGGCTTAAACTAGGATGTTCAGCTGTCAACTTGCCTCTGTGGCACAAGCAAACATTTGCTTCAGCCTTCTCAACAGGGACGTAATAAGCTGCAGCAGAAGAATGAAGACAAGAGCTCTACAGCTAAGTTGGAGGATGATCATCTTCAGATGGCAAGAAACAGAGCACAGTTAATAACACAGGCAGTTAAAAATCTACCATGAAGCACTTCCAACATTTACACTAGAGGCACTGGCAAATTGTAAATCCAGTTTCCCAAACGAATTCCTGGATGTGTCTCTCCAGCACTTTGTGTAACTGCTTCCAAATCACAGATCATCCCTTTACGGAGGAACTAGTGAACAAATGAACTAGCTCTCTTCAGATTCACTCTCCTTGTAACAGCTAACCCTACAGCTTTAAGCACTAATGCACCTCACTAACAAGCAACAACAGAAGTTGTATTCAACCAAGTGATAAGAATTGATCAGCTTTGTTTCACATATAGAACAAGGATTGTGTTTTTAGAAAACAATTAGAAGAATCCATGGAAAAGGCATGACAAAAATCTGATGTTCTAAGCTGTTTCTAAACTATAGTGTCTACTCAGAAATGTTCTGATTTCATTAAATTAGTTTCTAATTCATCTTAATTAAGTCAAGATATGCTTCTGGAAAGGATATTGTGAAATGCAATTTTAAAATAATAAATATATTTTGAAAATTAAAAGGATCTATAAAAACAATTCTGCAGTAGCAATCCATTATGAGAAAAATCAGAGATAACATGCAATCAAAAGGTCGAAAAGATCATGACTGAACAGAGATCACCTTTATAAGAATTTCAAAGTGTGAAATACATTATGGGGAGAATACTACCACCAAAAGGATCATGAACTATCTACAGACACACAAAACATCTTTTTTCAGTTTAGACATCATCTTGCAAAACTGCAAGTCAAATTCTTTTTCTTTTCACACAAAGCACTTAAATTCAGCTCTAAGCAAAAGGAAGAAGGAATTCAGTTAAATGCCAAGTGAATTTACAGGCAACTGTATAATAACAGGACTTAATTCAAAGAAGAAAACATATTCAAGTTATCTTACCTCAAAAATAAAAAGAATAGAATCTAGTTCTTCTCTCTGAGATTTGTGACCTAGGTGCAATTAAAAATAAATAGAAGATACACTTTCATTATTCAAACAATATAAAAACACCAACAAAGATCTTTAAATGTGTAAAACAAAAACATACATTTCTACAACTGAAAATTATACAGTTTACAACAGCTACAGTATGTATAACTTCCTATGATGGCACCAGTGACTGGGAGAGTAAGTTAGACAGTATCTTGCTAAAGAATAATTCCGCGGAACACAAAGTGTAACACATTAGGGATCCTCATTTTGCAAAAGGACAAACCCAGTCATCAGAGAATAAACACTTCTTGCTTACCTCCACTGCACGCATATATCATTGCTCTGCCTTTATTTGCACAGTTAGTGCTTACACATATTTCTGCACAGCTATTGTTGCCATTTGTGACCACCTGGGGCTTTATTTATAGCACCCTGCTTCATTTTATAACAAAAACAAAAGCACCAAGACCAAAAGCATTCTATTTGAAATACTTACCTTTTTGTTTAAGGCCTACTTCGATAGTCACAAAGTTTTCAAAGAATACATAATATATATGTGAGAAATGTTGGTCGAAAAACTGTTTGAGATCAATTGATTCTGCATTCTCTGAAAAACAGAACAGAACATTGTTTATATTTCTCTCAAATATTGAGTCAACCACTGCTTACCATTATCCAGCAGTAAGAACTGAAGAGTTTTAAAAGAAAAATTATTACTGGCAAAAGAAGTTCTTGAAGTTTTTGTTCTTTTAAACCAAGGCTAGTAAAATTCAGTACGGCATTCTGTAAGTACCTAGTGAATTTCAAAACAGGAAGCAACATCTTCTTGCACACTCCTTGTTTGTATGACAGTAATGCCTGTAAACCCCAGCCATGAACCCAAATTCATCAAGACTAGCACTGTACCGATGAATCCTGTTTTAATTGTTAATTTAATAAAGCTAGCAATGCCACCCAAACTCTACAACAGAAAGAGCATCATGATCCATAACTGCAATTACTAGACATGACTAAGCTTACTAAAGAAAGTGGAAGAAGGATGATAAGTAGGAACACATCTGTTCTGTAGATGCTGGGAGGATGCAAAGCGCAGCACTGCATTCCCACTGTTCCCTCCTTATTCCCTCCAAGCTCCAACATGCACTTTACTTTCAGTTTGGGTCAGCCCCTCAAACTCCTTTGATTGTGTGGTCTCAGGAGAGCAGAAGCTGGGACCTCAGGGATACCCTGAGGTGGAAACATCTCTGCAAATATAGAGGAATGTGCTTTCTTGTGTACCCCAGAAGGTTTCCAGACTCTCTTCCCACAACCCCTCAGATTGTTTTGTGCAAATCCTCCGTGAAAGGAATACACAGTGATTTATCCCGATTCATTTTAAACTGATCATTTTAAGCAATCAATTCCTTCAAGCCTTAGTACACACTGACCCAAAAGACACTCCCTGCCCTTTTATTTAAGTATCTAAGACTAGAGAAACTAGGTAGACAGAACAACAGTATGGAAGCACAGAGGGACAGGAAGACAGCATTTCAAATGGCAGAACTCTCTCCTTTCAGAATACTGATGTGAAACAAAGAAACAAAACCAAAACATGAAGACAAGCCATGCAAACAAAACCTTCATACCCTTCATCAGCTCTATACACTGAGACATCTTTCACTGTAGATATATCTTCTATAAATCTCCTTCTAATTCTATATTGGATCATAGGGTTTTTAGCCATTTTTACAATGACATTAATCTTTATTATCTCACATGACTGGATATACAAATGGTAGAGTATAAAGCACAGAAACAATCAATTGAAAGGATGGCCAAAAGTATGGCATATTTTCCATTGTATTTTATTATGCAGCTCTAGAGGACTATTAAGTCAATTGTATCACAAATTTTGCTATAAAAGTTTCCAATACATATTTAATTTTTGCTGTATCACAGCATTCTGCCAACATCTTGCATAATGAGTGCAGCAGAGCCAGGGTGCTCTTGGAGCAGACTAGGCTATATTAACAGCTAAGACCAACACTTAAAGCAAAGCAGCTCAGCTACGAATAAACTTAATGGTCCAGAGCAGCAACTATGTGCCTGAGTATTTACAGGATTACCAAATCCCTGTTTTTGCAGAAATTACCACTTACAGATCAGCAGCTGAACTGCTAGAGTTTAGAGACATAAATGTTAAAAGGCAACAAAAACCAATTCCACTTTAAACAATCCAGATTATGATTTTGAGTTGGTCAAGGCAAGAAACGGAGCAGTTATTACATCATAGGCACAACCATTACAACCACTTCCACTCATGGGTCAGAATCCCATGGTTCTATGGACAAGAAAATCCAAAGGAAGCAATGCAAGAGAGTTTGAGGTGAGAGGATTAAAAGCAATGATTGAGACTTTTGGGAGAAAGCAGGGTGGCAGAAGGTATCTTGTAGTCCATGTATTTGACTGTTGCATGGGAATTGGACATAGAAATGGTTCACTTGATGTAAAGGTGCAGAAAACACCAGTTCCAAGTACTGGAGGGATGGGAAGCAGTTGAACAGCATCTCTGCTAAGCAACACACAGGAATGCTGTGTTTTTGCAGGCACATTAAAAGCGTAGTTTCCTGAAATAGGCCCTCATTCTTACCCCAGACATGGGTCAACTCTGAAGCAGACAAAAAAAAACCCAAAAACTCAAACCAAATGTATTGTTTAAATACTCAATCTTAATACAACAGTTAGTAATTTTTGGAGACACTAGTCCTAGATTCCTCAGGCAACAAACTAAAGGCCTGTCTATACGAGCAGCTGAACAGTGATTCTAAATTTACTACATAGTTTCATACACACTGGTACTGTGGTAAGGCATGCTGCCTTTCCAGAGTTCTGTTGAGGGGTGGGGTGGAATTTCAGTGGTTTGTCCTTTTTTTAAATTTTTTTATTTATTTAAGACAATGTGATGCCAATCACCATAGAAAATGCTTAGAGGAGCACTGGCAGACCTGTATTATTACCACTCACAAACAACTGACATTAAAAGCCTACCTTCAGAATATAGCTATAGCTTGCAAGAGTAGGAGGAAAGCAAAAAAACCTTTGCCATTGCAGCTTCTCTAGAAAATGCATTTCACTTTGATTTCTTCCTGAGGTGGCATTTGAGAGCATAATTCAAAGCAAGTTTTTAAAATTCAAACCAAACAGTTAACAACTGAATTCTTGCAATGAAGTCTATCACTTCAGATGGAAGAAAATATAGGAATTTATTTAATATTAATTTTGTTCTGTCATTATGTGAAAACAATACTTTTTTTAAACCCTGCAAACTATTTTTGCTAATGCTGAAAACCAGCTTTCCTTTAAAGGGAGGGAAAACAGTTGTTTATCTGATGGGTTTGCCACCTAGAGCAAAAGAGAGCAAGTGCTCATCATCAAAGGACATATAGTGATTCAGCAAGATGCTGGTGCAGAAATGTGGAAACTTGCATTGACTGGAAACTTTGGAACACATTATGAACACCCTGACCAAGAATTATGGCAAAAAGGAGGGGTGGGGAGGGAAGCAGATACAGCATGGAGATAACAATGTAGACTCTAAGAGAGTCTGATCTGGGAATCATCTAGTCTGGCCACCTGCAAACATCATTCCATTTCACAGCTACCTCTATACTGAACACAGCCCACAAGACCAATACATGCATGGATAGACTATTGCTCTCTGATTATTGTAACATTAAAACTTTCAGCTATATGCTGCTGTTTTAGCGTTCTTCATTAATTAGGATTTGATTTTTTCCCTAATGAAAATATGTCAAAAATACTAAGTTTACCTTTATCCTTGTGATCAACTAAAGATACAGCTCAATTCTCTCATCTTAAACCATTTTCCCCAACACTGTATCACTGTCTCTTCTCTATTCTCTCTAGGTATCATAAATGTTGCATACAGAGGTAAAAATTATTTCCTTTGCAAGCAGCATCGTTCCTCTACAAGCAGTACCTCGTTTTCAGACAGCCTTGGACAGGGAATTTGCAGGAAGCTGCTTCTCTGCTTTGGCTAGTTAAGTCCTTTCTGCCTTTTTAAGAAGGGAGACATAGCCTCGTTTTATGCGGTGGGATTAAACAGAAACAGGCTTTCCTCCATAACTTCCAGTGCATTCATTTATTTATTTTTAAACAAAAGAACTTGTTAGTCTTCTACCACAGATTCATGGAACTAACACAAACTAATGTACTCCTTGTGTTCTTGGTACTTACGTACAGAGTAGGAGGAGGGAAGGACTCAGAAATAGATCTGGCACCATATGAAATAGTTGGAAAAGTTTCTCAGAATACGAGAGGGTAAAAATGGGACATTACTGTATTCCAAAAATGTACAAACTAAAGTTTCTACAGTACAAAGCATAGTTCCAGTACACTAAAATCCAGATTTCCAGCATTTTACAAAAGCTGTGTGTCAAGAAAATGCAGCTTTCTTCATGCTTTACAAGAGTAAGAAACATGGATCTTTGATTGCTAATTTTCCTTAACTCTTTGTAACTTAAAAACATTATTCTGTCTCATTCTAGGACTTACTGACTTTTAAGTCACTTTCCCTCATCCTTACCCCAAAACCAAAATACCAGTGACAACTGCAGCAAGCAATGACCTGGAAGACAGCCAGACCTCTGGATCTATTTCTGTAAAGCAGAGGCCTACTGCAGACTGACATGTTCAGTATCAATCCTCACAACAAACTGGTGCCACTAGAAACCAAGAGGTTTCCAAGTATCCTTAACTTCAGTATAACATACCATCAAAAAGGACAATAGAACTTACTCATTCTTAATTCTCCAAGATGAAAAATTTAACAGCCTCTTTAGAGCAAAACAGTGCAGAGGTTCGGTTACACAGGGACTCTGTCTCAAATAGAAAACTTAAAAAGGTTAAGTGGAAAACCTCCAGAACTAACAGCTGGCTCTGGCACAGTTAACAGACTGTCAGAACAAAAAAGTCCTGGTAACAGACCACAGTGTTTCAAACAGTGAGCTACAAGTGTGAGTCTATTACACAAGGCCTTCACATTAGCCCTTACTGTTTCAGGTCTAACCAACAGCTAAAACTTTAGTTTAAAAAAGGTAATTTTCTCAAAGGAAATATTCTTGAGGGTTTTGATACTGAAAACAGAACAGACTTAAAGACATCTTCTAATGAGCGTGTATTTTGCATCAGACAAGTCTGAACTCCCAATCACCACTATCTTTTAGATACAAGCACAAAAGAAAAAAAAATCATAACTGAATAAGCAGGTTGGCAGCACCAGTGTTCATCTACATATAAACTGTTACAATACCAGTACATTACAGGAGTGAGCAGTAGCAGCTGTCAGCTTTCCAAGCTAACTCTCTCAGGTTGGTTGCCGACTCCAGAAGAGTTACACTAGTAAACTTGTAAGAAATACTTCCATAACAATGCACACATGTTCCAACTTAAGCTTTTATTTAAGCAACTTCAAACACTTCCATAGTAATGTACTTATTTTCATTCCAAACTGCCACAAGCTAAACCAACACAGACCGCTCCTTCCCATCCAAGTGGTCAGAGCCTTCCCTTTGTCTAGCCTGGGGCTTTGATCTGGCTCCAGCCCTTACCCTTGCAATTCAGCAGCCCTGGCCACTGCTGCACTCTGCAAGTCAAGGGTAACATTAGCCAAAACACTGAAGTAAAGCAAATTTTTCCCCTCTGCTCCTGACCAAAACACAGTTATTTCAGAGTTAAGTCAAGAGTGACAGAACATCAAGTCTAATTTCTTAAACTGCATGCAACCCACAGCCAAACTCATGAGTTAGAGCAGTGACATGTCCTCTGCAGTTAGCTTCACCAGGAAAGAAAAAATAAAAAAACCCCAAACAACATCATCTACAACTCTTGCCAAAAATAATACAGCTTTGCACATCCACAGAAACTTCTGGAACAGTTATCTCCAAAGAAAACTCCAGGCAGCTAGTTTCATTGTAGCATCTCATTTGCTCTCACTTTAACAACCATAAAACATTTTTCATTTGTAATGACTGATTATGATGTGCAACACCAATACATGCTGTCCAGCTGAAGCATTAGGGCTGACTGCCAGTGAAATAGATTTCTTAAATTAAAATCCCTTTAGACAAATGCAATCTCAGTTTAACTATACTGTTTAATATTAAACAATATATCAGAATGGATGTCCAATGTGCCCATTTCATTCCATCCAGTACAGCTCGACTTTTCCCTTTCAGACATTGTTTACATGAGATGTCAAGCACTAGCCAACCGCCTAGAATAACAACACAAAATAACAAAAAAAAATCCCACACTTTAGCTACTCTGCTCTCTTTGCTTTGTGTTTTACAAGCATTCCCTTCATGGTGCCAGAGATAAAAGCAGTATAGTTTTAAGATATCAGATGCAAATTAAATAGTTTATGAGAAACAATATATTCCTTCCTTTACTCTGGATTAACAGATTAGACACCTGTCACTTGTACTCTACAAAAAAAAAAAAAAAAAAAAAGAAAAAAGAAGGGAAAAAACCCAAACACTACTACAAGAAAACAATTATCTTAAGAATTCAGCCCTATGAGTAAATTTTAAACCAAGTATATTCATTTGACTTACTTGTACATAGTAAGATTACACAGAAATGGTTACATTTTTGAAGATTTTCGCTTTTCTTTAAATACATATATTTACAAATCCTGACTGAAAATTCAAATTCAATAGGTACCAGCAACGTATTTAATACCAAAACAAAAAGTCAATATTGTTAAGGTATGACCTTATGAAAGGGTCACATATCAAGCTGCTTTACTATTTATAGAATGCTCAAGCACTCTTATCAAAAGAACGTATCAATCAAAATTTCATACTCAAAAAACTACTACAACAAACTTCTATACGCTACCATTTTAAAATCATAGAATTTCAGTTTGATGCTGAAGTCTGACTAAACATTGCAACATTATAAGAACAATGCAATATTATTTCCATGTTATTTCTTCTTATTGAGCCTAAAAATTGCAATATATATATATATATGTTTTCTGGAAAATCACAGGCTTCATTCTGCAGGCAACACCTAATTCCATAAGGTATGAGATTATAAGATACTTCACAGAGTTGACAAGAAAAAAAACCAAAAGGAGTGGGGTGGGGTAAACTTTCCACCACAGGAAGAAACTAATATATCTCAAAAGAATAAAATCTATTAAAGCAGATAGTTCCAGTTGTTTCAAGAACTTCAGCAGGATAACGATAAAAAGCAAATTACCTGCACTTACAGACCACCAAGTCCCAAGACAGGAGACTTTGATCTCTTCCAATTTTTCTAAGCATTTCTTGGCAATAATAATATTTCTTACTATTTGGAGGTCTCCTAAAGGATTTAACCTCTACTAGAAAAACCTTATGCCTGTGACATGCATACATTTTCTTACATGTTTACGTATTTTTCAATATCTGTCCCTACAGAAAGGGATTTTAAAGCTTTTAATGTCTTTTTACATTAAAGTTTTACTCTTATCCAAGTCATTCGTATGCCTAGATGCTTCACACACTGACTACAGCAATAAGACTCCTAATGCTGCAATGATATTTGGTATTACGGTACAGCACTGTCTTACGAAGACACAAACTTTTCTATACATCCTTAAGCAGACTAATTTGCATTTTTTAACTAAAATTAAACTGAGTTGTCACCAGTTACAGGATACTTTTTCCTAAAGGAATACAACTCACTGCAGTCTAAGCTATCTTGTAAATTACATTTTAAAAACTCCATAAAACGTACTCTGCTTTTAATTTGTTAAAAATAAATGTCACATGCCTTTGTGCTACCCTTCACTTAGCTTCATACTAGGTTCTTTGAAATTGTTGAGTCTCTTCTGGTCTTTACTAACAATGACATTATACTACGCTAAATATTTTTAGATGATGCCTGACTTGCACCATTTCCTTGCAGGATGCAACTATCAGTCTTTTACCATACTTTTAGATCTCTCCTCTTTGGCTACTAGACAACCAGTGATCTATCATTCAGAAGCACTTGCCTCTTTTCATGCCTATTCGATTATTTTAGCTTGCTGGAGAACTGGTGCTTTGGATGCCTTGATAAAATACAGAGGAAATGAACTAATACTCCTTTTCCTCCCTGCAAGTCTTAACCACTAATCCAAGGCCACCCCCGTTTATTGTTGCTGAACCAAAGACTAAAAAGTACAGAAAAAAACCTGAATTCTGGTCCAATATACCTTGCAGGCCTACTGAAAGGATTTTAAGTTTAAGAACAAGAGAAAATTCTCTCCTCCTGGATGTGAAACTTCAGGAAATTCTCTTCTGGATAGTCTTTTAGTCTCCAATTCACAGTGGCTAAGAGCAATAAACAAAGCATGTAAATTTTCATTCATGAAGATGCTGAACTGAGAGTTCCTCCCTCATCCCCACAGATAGTCTGCTGGCAATAGGTAGCTTGGCTCCCCTCAACACATGGAAACATGGCAGTTATTATGCTGGGTGTGCCCTCACTGAAATAAAAATGATACACAGTACCACAGTGCTCAAACTGCTGGATGGTCCCTGCATGAGAAGCCTCCTCAGGCAGCAGTGGGCATGTTCATTTGTTAAATCTGGCCCTGCAGATTAGTCAGAGAAACTATTAGAGAAGAAAGGGCACAGAGATTGTGTTTTAGAAGCCATGCTAGGCAGTAGAGAAATTTAAGGAATAAGGCAAGGAGGTGATCACAGAAGAAAACAGACTTCAAGTAATCTGCTATATACTTCCCTTGCAGTACAGAAGGAATACATAGAGAAATACCTTACTTCTCTGCCCTAAAAAAGACCTTGGTTTTGTACCTCATGCATCTAAGAATATCTGCATGATAAAATCTTGCAGATGTATCCAAAACAGACAAGCTGAAGAGTACTTTTACACCTTTCCCTAGTTACACAGTCACACACCATATTCTCTCAAACTTAGAGAAACAATATGTGGGAGCCATGCTTCAACAGCTGAGATCTACACATGGAGTGGGAGGCATCACATGAAAACTTCCCCCAGCAGCTTTAATCTGTGCTACAGCCGGTAAATAGAACCCTTAGATTAGATAAGAATGTCTGCTTGACACAAAGCTCATGGCTTGCATCTTACAGAATGCATCCAAGTACTAACAAAGCTAAAGGAAAAACCTGTAAATAATTTCAAGCAACAAAAATATCTAGAACAGAGCAGATCAAAACCACTCAGAGTGTTTTGCAGACTAAAGTAAAACTTAGAAATATTCAACATACTTTAGCCAGGAAACTTAAGTTACTTAGTTTCTTTTTCATGTTTTTTCCTCTTAAGTTTCAACTGATGAAGTAGCTCAAAATCAACATAAAGCAAGCCACAACTGGCTCAATACAAGTAGTTAGGGAAAGTGGTATATTCTGCATGAAGCAAGAAGATAGATCTGACTCCTGGATTGTCTTGGAGAGCTAGCTACCCATTTCAAAAGTCTACACAATTACTGTGTTGCAGAAAATAACTCTGCAGCAGCAGATGCTGCAACATGGGAACACCTGTTCCTTCAAACACCGATACAAAAACGGGAGTAACAGCCATTTTCCTCTGAAAGGAAAGAATCCAGCTTAGGGGCACAAGTACTTAAATACCCCCAGACTGTGGACAGAACCCAAAATAATCCATTCAGCATTCTGCTAAACAGAATGCAGCTGCCCTTGACCCAGACCTGCTTATGGGTTGATAAACTGCCAGAAGCAACATACACATTTACAGAACTGAAGGGCCCAAAAGACATTGGAGCAAACTTCTTTCTTCAAGGACAACTTGATGGCAGCGACTAAAATTTTTACAAACACATGGAACAAGCAGGTATTTTGGAATGGTTACCTCTAAGGGGGTTCTGCCACTGATTTTTGTTTATTCATTAGGCAATTATTCCATATAATCACAACTTCTAATTCACTGGTCAGGTTAAATGGCTGCTCACATGGAGCTGTGGCAAACCAAAAGTGTTTTCAGGCTAGCTGTATGGATGCTCACCTACATCTGCTCTAGCGAGAACTTACTGTTGTAGCTCTTACTTTGAAAACATACACATATATAAGGTGTTACTGGAAGAACGTAGGGAAAATGGATTAGGGAGTCACAGGCACCATTTGTGTTCACCAGCCACTTTTATTCATGCTCACCCACTTAGCAGTTATGTATACTAGAGAATAATCCACGAGGGAAGCACAGCGGGTTTTTCCTCCATCCACAGCTGCTCAATGAATCCCACCTTCAGACGAGGTGGAAATGTCGCCGTCTCGGGACAACAGCGGGAGCGAAGCATCCCGCGCCGCGCGGTCCGC